CAATGGTACAAAACCATTAAAAAATGAGTATAATTGTGATCGATGTGTTACTTAGTTCAATGTAAGCATTTCACATTGTATATCAAAGCAGTACCCTGAACCCCATAAATGCATCAATGTACAGCTATGATTTAATAATAAATAAATAAAAAAAAAAAAAGAATTCTTTGATCCTCAGAAGTTTCCTACTTCTGAATATTTTTAATATAAAGTTTATTTTGAAATATGTATGTATGTTGACTTTTACTTTTTCATTACATAAAATTAATTAATGCAAAAAAGAGAGGAAATAATCTATAACCCTATGACCCAAAGTTAAATATTAATCTTTGGCACTCTACCCTTTAGTAGATTCTTTTAAAAAATATAGTTATATAAGGTATATAATTTTTATATGCTTTTATCATTATTTTCTCAGTTTATGAATAAATTATTCAAAATATATTGATGTCAGCATATTTTATCAAGGGGAATGCTTTAATTAACATTGTTCATATAATTGGTGGGCATACTATTAATTAAATTAAGTTTTAAAAATATACAAAGACTATATTTAGATACAGACATTAAACTTGAATGTAGGAAAAAGAACTGAATTTTTATACTCATTGCTGTCTTAATGATTGCCTTACTCTGAATCCTAATTGTAGTTCTCAAATTAGAGACTAATCTGATGAAATATTTACTATAGAAATCAAAGCACATTAGGAGATATTTTTACTAAGAAATCAGAATGCTGTTCTTCCTTTCTTAAACTAAATTGTTTGTCATGTTCTATATAAAGAATATATTCACTTATCATTTTTGGCAAATTTATCTTAAAATAAAATAAGTACAAAAAAGAAATAAGGAATAACAAGTAAAAATTCATGTTCCTAAGGAAAATTCTGTTTCCTAAGGAAGCATCAGTACAATTGAATCACACTTATCCACCTCAACAGCATTTTCCACCTTCTTACCAGAGATTATCAATGTCCTATACTTAATGAATATTGTTCCCAACTTGTATTTTATGTTTTTACTAAATCACTTTTTCTCATTCTTAGAATATTTCATCAATACTTTGACACAATAAGATACATCTAATCTGTTGATCTTACCTTATTTTCACTATCCTTTATCAGTTTCATAATTCATGTAGCTTCTTACTTTAATTACTTGCCTTTTATTCACTTCTTTTGTCTGATCTTGTCTTATCATACCTCAGCTGTCCTTTGACTGAACCCAAATATGCATTTTGTCTATTCCTTCTCTCCATACACAAGTGCTGATGGAACTTACTGTAAATTTATGACAAATGCTAACAAGTGAGTCCTTTTGTGATGCTTTTTATGTGATAGCTAATGAGATCCAAAAAGGGGAAGCATTCTAAATGTCTATCAACTGAAAAAAATAGATGAATAAGATGTGGTACATCTATATAATGGAATCTTACTCATCCTTTTAATGAAATGTATTATTGACAGTAGCACATGGGTAAACATTTAATATATCAGTTGGGAATGTTTGAAAGAAACCAAAAACAAGATGTCACACATTGCATACTTTATTTATATGAAACATCCAGAAAAGACAACCCATAAAGATGTAAAATAGATCAGTGGTTCTAAGAATGGAGGTGAGAAGCGGAGCAGGGGTAATGGGAGTAAATAGTATGAGTATAGATTTCATGTTAGGGTGACAAAAACATTCTGGAATTAGATTCTGAAGAAGCTTGCAGAGGAGTTACAGAATTGCACAGTTTAAAAGACAGATAGTATGGCATGAGAATTATATCTCAATAAAAATAAATGGATAAAGATCACAGGAGTATTCATTTTACTTTTTGTCATTGTATTTTTCATTTCCTAATAATTATAGCTCATATTTACAGAAATTTTATTAAAAACCAAACAGATTGTGACTCAAATTTACTTTTGTTTTATTTATGAGAATTTTTCCAAAATTATATGCACTTCATCTTAGCAAAAAGGCCAAGAGCAATTTTCCAAGATTGTATGAATCTGTGTTGTCCTCTTAAATTATATAATTTTTTGTAGTGGAATATTTTCTTGTATTACTTATTTTTTGATCATATACTTGTCCAAAATTAACGATCCAGATGACTCTTCCCATCTACGTGGTTCTTTTTCAAAGTAATCATTTCATTGGTGCTAAGCATTTAAGATGGGTTGCCCAAAATACAAACCTGGTCTTTGTTGCTGCAGCATTCTGTCAGAGGTTGATGATACAGGGCAGAAGAGGAGTAAAGTGCTAACAGAGATCTAAGTTTCTTGTTTTAGGGGAAAGTTTCTCCTATGCCAGTTGTATGTTTGACTCATCTATTATTGCAAGATTACACATGATTCTTTAATATCTTCATCCTTTTTAAATCTTAATAGTATCAGAATAAAGTCTCTAGTGTGCAGATTTTCAGTATGACAAACTTTAGTACCTTAGAGCCACTAAATTTGTTGATTTTGAATATTATTGATTAATAACAAGAACATATATAATTCATTCATTACTCAATGCCATTTCTACCGATACTCTAAGAAATTTCTGGCACTGTTTTCTGTTTTGCTGATGAAAAGGTAATTTAGAAACTGTTTCTATATTCAAGGATGTTTCTGTGGGTAATATCTAAATGCAGTAAGTTTGACTATATGTTCAAGTCTAAAACTTAAACCTCAAAATTTGAATAAACCCAAATTATGAAAAAAATCAGTAAAATGTGTGATTGTGGAAGGATATTTAATAATAAATCCAGACCACTATTTTTGTTTCCCGAAAAAGTGTATTTTGGAATACTCCTAATTTTTCAAACTTTCTTGCATCCTAAATACTATGTAAATTCTTCAGTGTTTATAGTCTTTCATTGCATTACATATGTTTTGTACTACAAATATTATATTAATGATTTTATTTTATTTTTGTATTCATAAATATTTTGGGGAAGTATATAAAACACAGATAAATGACTCCAAACTTTTTAAAAGGTAGACTCAAAAGAAAATATTAAAAATTGGGAAATAGCCAAAATTGCAAGCATGAGATGGATTAACAGTGTGAAAATATTTATGTGTGAAGTAGTCCTTTGAAGTTACCTGGAATCAAATGCTGTTTTCAGAATTTTTTTTTTCTGTACATGTATAAATGTTGCTGGAGAGAAAATGGATAAGAAAAAAGAAAGATCTTAATGTGACATCTCCATATAAGATTTAAAAACATACATATGAGTAGTAAGCCACAGTTAATGAGTATTTGAAGGTTATTGAATATCTCTTGTATTATGAAAATTTGAGATTTAAAGATTGTTTTAGAGATATATTTCAGGAATTTTCAACACTTTCAGGTTGTTACATAGAACAAATCCAAATTTCTATAGAAACAGTCCTTACGATCAAGATACTTTTTTAGAAAAAACAATTTTCAGTACATGGTCGCGAATTTGTTTGGTCTTCATTCCATAGACAATAGGATTGAGAAATGGTGGGACTAACAGGTAAAGGTTTGACAGGAGAATATGAACATATGGAGGTATGTGAAACCCAAATCTATGTGTGAAGAAAGAGAAGAAGGCGAGAAGGTAGAACTGCAGGAAAACACAGATGTGGGTGATGCATGTATTGAGGGCCTTGAATCGTGCCTCTTTCTGAGGAAGTTGAAAGACAGTGATAAAAATTTTAACATAGGACAAAGTGATAAAGATAATGTCAAACCCTAGGATTGCAAAAGCAACAAAGAGACCAAACATCTTGTTGACTCGGACGTCTTCAGTAGCCAGCTTCACAACTGCCATGTGCTCACAATAAGAGTGAAAGATGACTGTAGATCGGAAGAGTTTCAGACGACATTTGATAAGCACTATGGAAGGTGTTACAAGGATGGCAGCTCTGAATATTACCCCAACTCCAATATGAGTTAAGAGTTGCTGGGAAAAGATGGTTGCGTGTCTCAGGGGGTCACAGATGGCCACATAGCGATCCAGGGCCATTGCCAAAAGGATACCTGATTCAGTTGCCTGGAATGAATGAATAAGCCACATTTGCAGCAAACAAGCATCAAAAGAAATCTCTTGAAAATGAAACCAGAAGATGCCTAACATTTTGGGAAGAATACAGGTGCTAAGTGCAATGTCTGTGGCTGCCAACATGGCCAAAAAAATGTACATGGGTAGGTGGAGGCTGTTTTCGTATTTGATAATAACTAAAATTATGGAATTTCCAATCACAGCAGTAATGTACATGGCACAGAAGAGAATTCCAATCCAACATTGCATGGATTCCAGGCCAGGAATCCCAATTAATATAAATACAGAGGGCATGAAGATTGAGCCATTGACTGTGAGCATGGTGATTTGCTCAGTAGAATTGAACAGTGTTATTGCTGTTTCATCTTCTATTCCCTGTCAAGACTTGATGAATTAAAAGTAAAAAGACATTACTTTATGGGAGTTAGATTTCATTTTATGTTTCCTATTCTAGCTATTCTTCTCTATCCCCTTTCCCAAAGTCACTGAGAGACTAACCAGCAGGTTCCATACTCCTGCAGTCCTTAATCATTCTCAGTGAGCAAAGTTAAATGCAGCAGATAGCTTTTTTCTGATTCAGGACTACTGAACCCGACAGATTCTCTTTATCCTGTGTTTGCTATTCATTATCTGGACTTTTCTAGTGATTTACCAATTGTAATTGGGAAAAATAATAATTTGATGCAGAGTTAAGATTTGCAATAGTAGACTCCATCTATATTAGTATAAAAGACCCATGGTGTTGGTGAACCATTCTTCTGCATCATAATCAAAAGGTAAGCTAATTGGAATAGTTTTTAGCTTTGCAGATCACCATCTGGTTTCCTAAAGTTAGTTTCTTATAGTCTGATCCTTCTGATATAGACTATATAGAAAATCCTTCAATTTAATTTTTTAAAGCTTTCAGTGTGTTTATTTTTTGCAGTTTTTTTCTTTTCTTTTTTGGCAGGGGCCAGGTTTGAACCCACAACCTCTGGTATATGGGGCCAGTGCCCTACTCCTTTGAGCCACAGGCGCTGCCTTCAGTGTCTTTCTAAGACACAAACGTGTCTTGTACCTTGTTCTACTTGTTATCTAAGAAAATAAATGCTAACTTTTAAATTCTTGGGTCTTTTCCTTAGCAGTTCCTATCAGGGCTTGTTCTCATTTTCCATATCCTGTCATGTGTGCATCTCTTGTACTTAACATCAAGTACTAAACTATGACCTCTATATTATGCTTTTTTCAGAAATACCCACCATTACCTCTTTAAGTGTGAAGGGTTGTTTTTCTGTTTAAAATTATACATAACTCTCTATAAAATGTAATTCTTTATGGACAGTGCTATACATCCTATGTCTACTCAAAATACAAAATACAATAGCTTCTGTAGAGGTGAAAATGTTCTGCCCTCCACCAGTCACTCTAACACATGACAATACAGGCTTCCAGAGCCACCTAGCTCTGTTTTCTGGGAAGTGTTTCATTATAGAGAAATTTTGCCTTTTCACTGTTCAAAGATCAAGGATTGCTTGCTGATTCCTTGCAACCAGAATTCATCTCTACTTGAGGAATATATTTCCATCACAGATACTTAAATACTGAATAATTAAAAAAAAACTTTTATTTTCTTTTAACAATTTCAAAACTCATTTTCTCAAACTATCTAAACAGTGTATGAAATACATAAACACATTAATGGGGCAAAAATTATAGATTTATAACAAGGAAAATCTCACCATCATGCCTGCCCATCACTCTTAAATTGTTTATTTTCTTTTCTCCGAATATACTTAGATTGTCTTTAGGACATAGAAAGACAACTATATCCCATCTCAGGTCAATGGCAGGAACATTCATTTCTTCTTTTCTTAATACTTATCAAATTCTGAGAAAGGTTTTCTGTTCTGAGACTTCTTTTTCAGAAACTTGTCCTTTTTACAAATACATAAATTAGTAAACTAGATTATCTTCCTCACATTAAAGAATTTGAATTATTAAAGTAAATTAAATGTTTATTGATTATTTTATTCAACAAAGATTTATTAAATGTCTACTATGTATTAAATGTTTACTATGTTCCATGTATTATTTCAAGCAATTGAAGAATAAAGATAAATTCATTTATTTTATATTTATGAAGTATCTATATTGTTCTGAGTGCTGGGACTTCAGAAAGTATCATGTAACAATTATAAAATATATGTTAAATATCACCCTCTCTTAAAATATTTAAACATTTGCATTATTTTACCTTTGTAGCTTTTGTTATTTGCATTATTACCCTATTATATAAATGAAAAATATAAGAATGATTTTTATAGGTAAATCTACTGGGATCCAAATTCCATGCTACATTACCTGGAGAGAATCAAATAAAAAAATTTCTATCTTCAGGGGTTTTATATGTACAATTTAGAAAATAAGTATTGTGACATATATAAGTATATATGCAAAAAGGTATAACTATACATGTCACAATCCTTATTTGAGCCTATCTATTTGATGCCCATAACCCTTTATTTATCCATATATATGTATGGATAATACTGATATATATATCATGCAATTAAATAAGGCTGGGCAATATAAATATATATTACATAATTTGATCAGAGTGTTCCTGTTTAGATTCTATTGGAAATTATTCCCACATTACCTTAATTAACTAAGTTCATGCAGTACTTAGAGTATGGAATATGTTTATTATATACTACTTGTCTGATGAGATGTATGTCTTTATTTTCAAGAGTCTATTACCCTACTATTGTTCAAAAATCTCTGAGATTTGGCTGAAAAATATATCATTGACTTTATCAGAAATATTAATTTGGAAAATTTAACATGGCCACATGAGTAATAGTTGAACTGGAAAATCCTTGAAAGGTAACGTACAAGCTGAAACTCACTCAATATATTGTGAGTAGTCAGAGGAAGGAAAACACAAGCATTGAATAAGTAAATAAGATAGTAAGTATATAAAGTAAAGCTAGCCTTCAGTCTAAAAGAAACAGTTCATTCTGAGAAAGCAATTACCTTCCTTTCTGAGACTTTTCCATTTCGAACTCCCATAAGGCCTAACTCATATTTTACTAGGACAGGTTTTCTCAATCTTAGCGCCAAATGAGATTTTTGGCCAAATGAATTCTTTGTTGTTGGACATACCATGTGTACTGTAGAAAGATTAGCGGCATTCCTGTCTCTTGTCTATTGGATGCCCAGTAGCACTTCCCTGTAGCAACAACAAAATAATGGCTTTGTGAAGTGTCGCCTAGACATTTGAGGCCTTCATGCTTGATTATTTTAGAATCTCACATTGGAGGGGAACATAGCCCTTAATTGAATAAGGATTGATGAGTTTATGTACCTTTACTTAAATTTGGCAGAATAAAACTGGCTATTCAGCAGAATAATATGTTGTAGATCTTAAGTATTATCCAGATAAAGGAGATAAAGAAAAAATTTGACAAAAAGAACATGGATTGTGTAAAAGCACAAAAGTATGGAAAATAGGCTGGAATTATGAATCAATAAATATTTTACCATACAAATAGTTAATTAGCAGAAATGATATTAGAACTAATGAAAAGAGAAGAAGAGTAAGTGTCATGTTAACCATATTAAGATAAATATTTTATAATTTGTAGGTGTAAGGCAGACCTTTTCTTTTACAACTATGATCTGCTAGCAGCTTGGTGGTGACTTGTGTAGGATATGAAAGCTAAAAGGTAGAGAGATCTTGTTAGAAAGCTATTTGTGGTAGTCCAGATGGGATATCATAAAGTGGTGAGGCAATAGCTAAGGGAAAACAAAGAAGCAAAACCTATGGACTCAGTGATACTGATATGAGGTAGGGTAGATTGAGAGATGGGGCTAAGGTGGTCTTGGATTGAGCACTACTGCACTTGATGGCAAGGGAAGCCTGGGAAATAACTTGGTTTGCACTGACATGTATATGTTTAAAAGAGAGAGAAAGATTTCTTAAGCCTTTGAAACCTAGGTCATGATAAACAATCTGGAAATGTGAGTCTTTATTGTTTGAATAAACCCTGACTCATTAGTGATACCTACAACTGCAGTTCTGGCACAGATTAATTCCCAGGATTTACAAGTTTTTTATTTTTTATTTTTATTTCTTATAGCATAACTATGTACATTAATGCAATCATCAGGTACAGTGTGCTGTTTTCATATACATTTTGAAATACTCTCTTCAAACTGGTTAACATAACCTTCATGCCATTTTCTTAGTTATTGAGTTAAGACATTCATTCTCTGCTTTTAGAAAGATTCACTTGTACCCTTCTAAGATTAACCATAGAGGTGACCCCACCAATCACCCTCCCTCCTCCCATCCACCCCCCTCATGTCCCCTCTCCCACACAAGTTTTAAAGGATTTAGGAATCTAATTACACATTTCCTGGTAGGGTTAATCAACACTCCTTGCAATATCAAGACTCATCTCTGAAGTTCCCCAGTTGATCTCTGCCAGAAACCATCCATTGACAGAAAACTCATTTTTTTTTTCTAAGACAACCAGCCACATTGCAGAATAACTGCAAATATCAAGTATGTTTTCTTTACATTGAGTCTAAAATTGCCATTTTCCTAATTTATCAGAAAATTCCTAAATCTACAGTCCTATTACAAACACTGACCACGCACCATGGCAGTTAATTGCAAAGAATCAGAAACCAGTTGAGAGAGTTCAAATCCTGGATCTGGCATTGTTTAGTTTTGCATGCTCAAAGTACATCAATCTCCTTATTAGTCACATAAAGTTAATGGAAAGGGATACATCACAGAGTGACTGGGAAAATTAAATGACACATTCTATTTCAAATATTTAGAAAGAAACATAGAATGTGCTGATTTATAAACTAATAATCCATAAAAATTTACCCTTTTCTTCCAAAGAAAGAACTTCAAACATTTAGCATTTTCCCTCAATCTGCCCTAGTCTAAACATGTGTAATCCTTGCCTCCTAACAAATAACTTTTCCATTTATTTATCTACTCAGATAATAATTCTCTAGACTTCCTTCTACAAGTTGATATAAGTTGAATATTTGTCACCTCGCACTTCATTAACTGATCCAGAAATATTCAAGAAACATGAGAAAACATGAGACAGAATCTGGAGTTTAAACATTTATCTATTATATAATTCAATTGCTTTTTTATCATCCTGGAGTCATACCTATTGGATTACATGAGATGTGTGTTCTCTTTAAAATGATTCCTTCATTTTCCAGTATGTAATACATAATCTCAGATTCTAAGACTTACCAGGTATCATCTATGAACATCTAAGTGGAAGCTAAGAGGGAGAATCTTTTTG